TATAAAATAGTTCACAGATATTACGAAATAAAGTAATCGTGAATTCTGTTTTTATCTGGAAATTTCAACTCTAGGTAACTAAAATTTATATGTTTACAATGTACCAGGAACTAAGAAAAGAAAAATTAAAAGTACAACTGAAATTACTAAAATAGTGGCAATGAGATTCTGGTCCATTTTACCTTGTGTCAGCTCCAGTCACAGATATGGAGTCTGTAAGATGCTGCATCTATATTGTTGGGGTGGGGAGAGGTTCTATTACAGAATAATGACCCCCATCTCCCCCTCCCACTTTTCTTTTTAATCCTCACCGAAGATATTTTTCTATTTATCTTCAGACAGAGAGAGAGGAAGAGAAAGGAGAGAGAGAGAAACATTGACATGAGAGGGACAGGGACCAACCGCAGTGGAGGTGAGGTACACGCCCTTGGCTGGAATCAAACCAGGGACTAATTGGTCCAAGGGCTGATGCTCTACCACTGAGCCAAATGGGCCAGGGCTTCCCCTCCCACTTCTTAAGACAACATCTCTCTATAATTCTAATTCACCTAGGCTTTCAGAGACCATGGTATTCTTTTTATGCAACTCTAATCTCTTATTCTAATGTTTGCTGTTTGGAATTTAAATGTCACATTTAAGGAGGCATTCTTTCCTACTTGCTTAGGCTTACTTGATTTTTAAATACTTTTGATGCACAAGCCAGTGATGAATTCTATTTCTCTCTTACTACCTCTTCTCCCTATTTTCCCATCTCTCTTTCTCCTCATTGCTTAGAGTATATTTTACATAAGAAACCACATTTTAGTCAAGATTTTCAGCAATCAAGGTATTAGGGTATGGAATTAAGAAATAGAGTCTTCTTGGGGGTAAACAAGTAGAAGAAAGCTGCTAGTTCCATAATACTAATAGCAAAAATAGACCAGCTAGAAGTTTAACAGACAGAATCAGGGAAAGGGACAAATGAGAATAGCTCTTTTGGGGCCAAAATAAGCTTCACGAATTATCAACATCCTGCCTCTGCAAAGTTGTCCAGCTTTAATGGGTTCAGATTGTGGAACCCCAGGACATTGTAAAGAACAATAGCAGTTAGTGAAGGCTAATATCTGGGCTGATAGACCAAAGCTTAAAGGGGAAACCAGGGAAAGAGACAGTCAAAGAGAGCCTACCTAAAACTACAACCATCCCTGGTAGTCAGGGAAACTATGTTCATGCCCAAGGCAGCAGCACCCTTTAAGGAATGACATCAGAGACTACACACTGAACTAGTTCAGACAAGCCAGTAAACAAATATATATTTATATTTTTTTCTTTATTGATTTTAGAGAGAGAGGAAGATAAAGATAGAAACATCGATGAGAGAGAACATCAACTGGCCACTTTCTGCATGCCCCCCAATGGGGATCAGGCCCACAACGTGGGCATGTGCCCTGACCAGGAATCAAACTGGCGACCTCTTGGTGCATGGGTCGACGCTCAACCAGTGAGCCACACCAGCTGGGCATGCCACTAAACAAATAAATGAGCAAAAAAGCAAATAACAACAAGCCACAGAGGATCATGGGAATAACTATCTAGAGTTACTATATTACCTAAAAGTTCAGTTTTCAACAAAAAAATTACAAGACATGCAAAGAAAAAAATACACAGGGAAAAACAAGCAGGCAATAGAAATTGCCTTTGAGAAGATTAGATGTTAACTTAGACAAAAATTTCAAAGTAAATGCTATAAATATGTTCAAAGACAGATATATAAAATACTCCACTCAACAAGAACAGAATATATTTTCTTCTCAAGAGCACATAAAGCATTCTCCAAGACAGACCATATGTTAGGCCATAAAAAAAGCTTCAATCAGGTTTAAAGGGATTTAAATCTCATGCAAAGTATGTTCTCCAACCACAACTGAATTCAAGTAGAAATCAATAAGAGAAGGAAATATGAGAAATTCACAAATATGCAGAAATTAAACAGCACACTCCTAAATAACATGAATTAAAGAAGAAATTCCAAGGGAAATTGGAAAATACTTTGAGATGAGTACAAACAAAAGCACAACACAGCAAAACTTATGGGATGGAACTAAAGCAAAGCAGTATGTACAGGGAAATTTATAGCTTCATTAAAAAAGGGGGGGGAAAATCTCAAATTAGTGACATTATTTTCACCTTAGGAAACTAGAAAAAGAAGAGAAAATTAAATCTAAAACAAGCAGAATGAAGGCAATAATAAAGGTTAGAGCCAAAATAAATAAAGGAGAAAACAAAAAACAATAGAGAAAAGTCAATAAAATCAAAAGTTGGCTCTTTGAAAAGATCAATAAAATTGACAAACCTTAGTGAGACTGACCAAGAAGACAAAAGAGACTCAAATTATTAAAATCAGGTATGAAAGAGGGAGCATCACTACTGACCTTACAGTAATACACACACACACACACACACACACACACACAGTTGTTCATATGGAAAAGACAAATTAATAAATAATAAATAATACAAGAACAAACTGTTTCACATACTGACAACTGTAAATCTACTTTTGCCCACACACTAGATAGATAGATAGATAGATAGATAGATAGATAGAGATTCATTCTACAAATTTAGGCCAACATATTAGACAAATTAGATGAAATAGACAAATTCCAAGGATAGTGTCTACAAATTATCAAGATTAACAATATACAAACTACTCAAGAAGAAATAGAAAATCTGAACAGAACTAGAGTAAGAAAGAAGACTGAATAATTTTAAAACTTCCTACAAAGAAAAGCCCAGGCTCAACTGGCTTTAGTGATGAATTCTACCAAACATTTGAAGAATGTTTAGTATAATTCATTTATAAACTTTTCCCCAAAATAGAAGAAGATATGCTTCTTCACAATTCATCCTATGAGGCCAATCTTACACTAATACTGAATATCACAAGAAAAGAAAACCACGGACCAACATCCCTTATGAATATAGATGTAAAAATCCTCAGAAAAATATTAGTAAACTGAGGCCAGTGCCATATACATCATGATCAGGTGGGATTTATGCCAGGAATTTAAGGATGGTTTAACATCTGAAATCAATCAATGCAATACACCATATTTAATAGAATAAAAGACAAAGACCACATAATCATCTTAATAGATGCAAAAAAAAAAGCATTTGACAAAGTAGGCACAGAAAAGAACTTTCTCCATATGATGGACACCTAAAATGCAAACAAACAACTAATATACCTAATAGTGAAAGAATGAATACTTCCCCATAATATCAGGAATAAGACAAGAATGTCTATTCTCACTACTTCTATTGGACACTGCACTGGAGGTCCTAAATAAAACTACTATGAAGAAAAAGAAATAAAAGACAGCCCAATTAGATAGAAAGAAGCAAAATCATCTCTATTCACAGATAATGTGCACTTATACATAGAAAGTACCAAGAAATCCACTAAAACCATTAGAACAAGTTTATCAAGATTCACATGAGATCGGTATGTAAAAGTCAATTGTGTGTCTATACGCCAGCAATGAACAATCCAAAATGTAATTAAGAAAGCAATTCTAATTACATTAATATTGAAAATATTTAGGAATAAGTTAGGAATAACCTTACCAAAACAAGTGCCTCAATATATGTGATTACAAAAACACTGTTGAAATTAAAGATCTAAATAAATGGAAAGATACCCCATGTTCATGGAATTGAAGACATAATATTAAGATTGCAATAGTACCTAAATTGATCCACAAATTCAAGGCAATCCCTATCAAAATCCCAGCTGTTTTTTTGGTAGAAATTGACAAGCTGATCCTAAAATTCATATGGAAATCTAAGGAATCCAGAATAGTCAAAAAAATCTTGAAAAAGAAGAAAAAAGGTGCAGAATTCATACTTTCTAGTTTCAGGACTTTGTACAAAGCTACAGTAATCAAAACTGTGTAGTACTGATATAAAATAGACATATAGATCATGGAATAGAATTAAAAATATAAAAATAAACCTTCATATTTATGGTCAATTGATTTTTGATGAGGGTGTTAAGAAAATTCAATGAGAATAGTATTTTTAACAAATGGTGCTGGGATAACTAGATATCCACATGCAATAGAATGAATTTGGACACCTATCTCATACCATACACAAAAATCAATTAAAAATGGATCAGACACCTAAATTTAAGAGTTAAAACTATTAAACCCTTAGAAGAAAGCACAGGAGTAAATCTTCATGACTTTGGGTTAGGCAATGACTTCTTAGATACAATACCAAAATCACAAAGTAAAAGAAGCCAGACACAAAAGATCATATATTATAACATGTCCAGAAAAGTCAAATTTATGAAGACCAAAAGTAGATTAGTGGTTGCCTAAGGCTGAGGGGAGCACGGGTAGGGGGCTGGGAGAGTTGGGGGTGGGGAGGAAATGAGGAGTGACTGATAATGTGTGTAGAGTTTATTAGTTGATGGAAATGTTCTATAATTAGATTGTGGTAATAGCTCTACAACACTGTGAATATATCAAAAAGCACTGAATTATATACTTCAAATAAGTAGGTTATGTGGTTTGTGAATTCTATATCAATAAAATTGTTAAAAATATAGTGATGAATTCGGAGAAAATTATATGCTCTGCATATAAAGGTAAGTCGTTTTTTTTTGTTGTTTTTTTTTTATCCTCACCTGAGGACTTTTTTTTTGTTTTTTTTGTTCAGATAGAGTGGGAGAGAGAGAGAGGAAGAGAGAGAGAGAGAAACATCGACGTGAAAGGGACACATCGAGTGGTTGCCACCCGCACGACCCAACCAAGGCCGGGGACAAACTGCAACCGAGGTGCATGCCCTTAGCGGTAACCGAACCCAGGTCTCTCTGGACCGCAGGCCAATGCTCCAACTGCTGAGCCAAACTGGCCAGGGCAGTAAGTCGCTTTTTATCTCTATATTGTAAGGGACAACATCATCTATGCTGCATCTTCTTTGCCACTTTGGTGAACAGTTTGATTACCTACCTGTTCCCACTCATGCTTTGATAAATATTCAGAAGGGGATCCATTTAATCTGATTCCTCGAAGAGTATGTCCTTTATTTCTCCTAGATTCAAAATTGCTTTCTTTATCTATTGGAACTGGTGGCATCAGCACAGATTTCATCTACAAAACAAATTCATGCTTTAATCAAACCCTATGCTTGGTGTGCTGCATGCAGAAACTTCAGTACCAGTTGCTATTCTGTCTATACTGTTGTGCCTCAACCCAGTGAAAAACACATGGTCTGTATGCATAACCAATGGACAATAGACAACAAAGCTGGGGATGGGGGGGGGGAGAAGGGTGTCAATGGGGAAAAACATCTGTAACAAAAACAAACAAAACAAAACAAAACAAAAAAAACATGGTCATCTTTTCCATTTCACCCACTTACTTTATCTTAGTGATCAACTGATCTCTACAAAGTGAACCTGTTAAATTCTGTTTGTTCATTTGTCAAATACAGAGATTGCCCTACAGGGAAAGTTTCCCATTAGAGCTTCTAAAGGACCATAGAGGCACAAGATATCAGTACTAGACATGTTGAGGCATCATCACAGGAAATGGAAGCTGCTAAGGGAAACCGGTCTCCCACTGAGTCTTTATCTATACATGAGGCTAAGAGAGAACCAATAGGTTTTGATTTCAGAAACACCTCAAGAGTGCTGCTTTTCATTTTGTTGTGTTTCCCTGGACAAATGAGAGTAAGTACATTTGTGTTCAGGAAAATTCTCAAAGGAGATATAAGTTGAAAACTTTGGAAGCCCTTCAACTTAAATGCAATGTGGTTTCAATCTGACCCTGTGAGCAATTGGTGGTGTTCTCTAATCCTACTAATAAAAGTGATGCATTTCTTTGGAAAATAAAATGTCTTTCTGATAGTATGTCAATTACTGTAATCCCTTCTACATTCCCTTACATAACTTGAGGCTGTAATTTTACACTTGTTTCTTTGTAGCACTCTACCCTTATACAAAACAATTTGAAACAATATTTCTGTTATATTGGTGGTCTTAGTTCAGTGATAGATAATTCTCTGTGGTAGGCCCTTAGTTTTTTCTATAAACTAGGGTGTATATGAAACCTTACCTTTATTTTTCAAAAATAAAATTGAATCTTATTCTAAGGTCTTGTCTCATTTAGATGGTTGGAAATTCAATTTCAGCTATTATTATTGATGAATTCACAACCTACCCTCCCCATCTCCCCCAGCAAATGTCCCCAGGTCTTAGGCAGAGCAGAATATTCTGGGAGGACACTCTGGAGTTGGGCCCACACAATTCCTGGTAAGCTCATTGGGCAAAGCTACATGGTCTCTTAAGTACATGTGACTCTACTGTTTTCAAGGCCACTGGGGATCAGGATACTTTGCCCCAGCCCCTCCCTAAGGCACCACACCATAATTTTATCCTGGAGAACCTAACCTACCAGTCATCCCTTTCCTCACACCCTGCCAGGGAGATAGAAGAATACTAAGCCAAAGTCTTAACCTTATAAAATATTCCTTCTCTGTCCTTCTGCATTGACCCCTCCTTCCAACCTGCCCACCCTACAAAATGCCTTTTTTTTTTTTTTTGGTGGTACATGCCTCTAGCAGGAACCGAACCCGGGACTCTCTGGTCCACAGGCCGATGCTCAACCGCTGAGCCAAACTGGCCAGGGCGAAAATGCCTTTTAATGAACCTTGAGTGGAGGTTGTTATCAGGTTCCCTCAACCCTGCCCCTCTCCTATTAACAATTATACCACAATAGGTAAAAACCAGGAATCATGGTCACCCTACACTTGCAGGGTTCTAAGGGATGGAAAAGTAGGGGTTATAAAATTGGATTTGAGGTCCTGGCCGGGTCGCTCAGTTGGTTGGAGCATTGCTCCCATGTGTCAAGGTTGTGGGTACAATCCCTGGTTGGGGCATGTGCAAGAGGCAACCAATGAATGCATGGGTGAGTGGAACAACAGATTCATCTCTCTCTCTCTCTCTCTCTCTCTCTCTCTCTCTCTCTCTCCTATCTCCCCTCTCCAATAAAACATTTTAATAAAAAATAAATAAATAAAATTGGACTTGAAAATCTACTTTTGTAGCTCATCTGGTAGAGTTCCAAAGGCTTGAACCTACTACTTTTATTGCAGCTCAATTATATTTAATACAACAACTATGTGCTACCAGTTCAACCTCACTCTAGGAGGGGTAGAAGCTACAAAAACTACATAAGTCAAATTTCTAACTATAAATCCCATCTTATGAGTAGGTGGGACCCTCAAAGGGTGTGAGATTTGAGGTATCCTGGGAAAATTCCTGGTCCACAAACTTCTCGCCAGGGTCTATCTTGGTTACCGAAATTCAGACCTTAGTCCTAAGTATCAGAAAAAAAGGAGAGAGTTGGAAAAGAGTGCTCTATGTTCAGAGCTTACTCTATGCTGTTTTCTTCATCTAAGTAATTATATTTAATCCTCCTAACAATTCAATATTTTAGGTACTTTTAGCTTCAAGGTATAGGTGTGGAAACTGAGACCTAGACAACTTTGGTTCCTTGCCTAGTCACCCAACCAGGAAGTGGCAGAAGCAGGATGTAAAGCTAGCTATACCTGTCTGATGTCAGAACCTCACAGTGTTTATTAGATCAAGGTGGCTCTCAACTTAGGGTCTCCACATAGATAGTAATGGGCATTCCAGAGATATGATCTTAATATATGAAAAAGTCCTACAGAGGGCTACCTGCTCAGGCTAATCTCAGGAAAGAAAAATATTTCAATCTGATCAATTGGTAGTGGCTGCCATGGCTGATCAGTGCTGTTGTCATAGAACTGGTGGTGATGGAGTGTTCCATTCCTGCCATGTGCTTACCAATATTTGACTGACAAAAACATCATGTTCCCTTGCTCTTGGCTAGAATCATATCCACTCATGCTAACACTATCTCATATTGATCAAAATGTCTTTTTTTTTCTATATTGATTTTAGAGAGAGAGGAAGGGAGAGGGAGAGAGAGATAGAAACATTGATGAGAAAGAATATAGACTGGCCGCTTCCTGCATGCCCCCTACTGGGGATTAGGCCCACAATCTGGGCATGTGCCCTGACCTGGAATCAAACCAGCGACCTCTTCGAGCATGGGTCGATGCTCAACCAGTGAGCCACACCAGCCAGGCGATCAAAATGTCTTATTGGCTTGACTATTTGCTGATACCATGAGAAAGATGCCTTAAACTCAGGGTGGTCTTAAATTTTATTGCAACTGGCATACTTTTGAGACTAAAGGGAGGTGTTAATAACAATTACACCAAGACAACAGGTATAAATCAGGAAATATGGTCTTCACTGGATCCCAGAGGGGGCTATGCAAAATCACCACAGAATCAGGAAAAGGGTTGTAAATTTTCATCCAGTTTTGTGTTAGATTTACCCTGCTTTGGTCTTAAATCTCTTAGGAGATATTCAATAAACATTGATTAAGTATTTACTACACCTTATATGCTGGGGATGCTGGGGTTATATCATAAAACTAGAGAAGCAGGGGAAGATATTACCACAGTTTGTTATTTAATTTTGGTAACTGTTCTGAAGGATATACACAAGGGGTTTAAGAGCATATAAGAGGGGACTTGATCTAGTCTCCATGTTGTAGAAGGCTTTGCAGAAGGGTATGTTTAAGCTGAAATTAAAAGGATGAGGAAAAGTTAGCAACAATATTATCATTCATATGTGTAAAAAGGTATAAGGGCTCTTATAACTCAAGGTGGATAGGGGTCACATTTCTGTCTATATCAAATTAAATTCCAGCTCTAGATACCGCTTGCCTAGATTGGTTGGAAGTTGGTCAGGCCTGAAGGGTAAGGATCCGTGTTTTTCACTAGGACTATATATGATCATCTGGCTCCAAAACTGCTATTGGTCCTCATGCCCATGTAGTCCCTGGTCTAGGGACTAGGCTGGTACAGGAAGAAGACAACTCCAGTCATTCTGCAAAGCCCAGCCAAAGAAGCCTTTCATGAAGGTTGGGAGCTTTACAAGACCCACATAACCACTTCCCTCAGAGGTTTTATATACGTCCCTGCTCTGTTTCTGTTGTTTTTAATATGATTACTTAGGTTTAAAAATATTTCCAAAAATATTGCCCTGAGCCATTTGGAGTATACTATAAGGGAAATCATATCAATTCAGAAATAAAGTGCTATATGATTCCACTTATGTGAGGCACCTAGAGTAGTCAAATTCACAGAGACAGAAAGTAGAAGCGTGGTTGCCAGGGGCTGGGGGAGGGGGAAAGTGGAGTTAATATTAATTGTGTAGATAGTTTCAGTTTGGGAAGATAAAAAGTTTGGGTTATGGCTGGTAGTGATTTTGGTGATGGTTACATAATATGTAAATGGCACTGAACTGTAAACTTAAAATTGGTTAAAGTGGTACATTTATGTTATGTATATTTTACCATATTAATTAGAGATTTTAATTTTAAAAAATCAGGATTTTTCACTTTTAGAAACTATATGAAATGCCAACATTTCCTTATTTTCCCACTTCCATCACGAATTTAAAATTTTCCCATATAGACCTGGCTGGTGTGATTCAGTTGGTCACAGGTTTGATTCCCAGTCAGGGCACATACCTAGGTTGTGGGTTTAATCCTGGCTGGGGTGCCTACAGGAGGCAACCTATGAATGTATCTTTCTCACACTGATGCTTTTCTCTCTCTCTCTCTCTCTCTCTCTCTCTCTCTCCCCCCTCCCTCCCTCCCTCTCTAAAATCAATTTTTTAAAAAAATTCCCATGTAGACAAGTTACCCATTTAGTTCTTTACCATACAATCACAGATTTTCTAAAATGTATACCAATCTTTTCAGTTACAACCACCACTAAAATACAAATGAATACAAAATAATAAATGAAAAAAAGAGGCATACATCCCCTTATAAATCACTGAGACAAGATTCATGTAAACAGCCTTCTTACTTTGTTTCTCTCTACATGATGGAGTAAACCCAAATCTGTGGACTCTGATATCCCACCATGCAAGATCAGGATTTCATCGTCAATGATTGTACCAAGTGGCAGCCAGGAAAAAACATCTTCCAAGACTTGCAGGATTTTTTTCCCATATATCTGTAAGTAAGAGCTTAAATAAGATTCGTTTTTTTGTTTTTGTTTTTTTTGGTGGGTTCAAGTTTATTTAATAGTCTCAATGTATGGACAAAAAGCAAAACAGTTTTCATGCCACCCAAAGGAAGTCAGCACAGTCATTAACCCACTAGCACGCATTAAGCATGTCTTTTTATTCTGTATTTTTTTTGACTGCCCCTCCCAGGACTAGCTAATTCTCAGAGACAGTAAAAGACTTGTCTATCATATGCAAACCAGCCAATCAAGAGCCCACACACCCAACCACCTCCTTTATGGGGCTGAAATTACTCAAACTAGCCAATCCTAAACCTGCTTACCCTGCCTCCCCCTATTCCTTCCCAAGGAAACCACAATAAAGGCTCTCCCACTCATTCTCTCTGCCTTCTGCCCAACCTTGGTGCCTCTCTGTGTTGCCCCCCAATGTGGTGTGCTGTGCCTCCTGTTTCCTGGTGACTGTGAATAAAAGCCTCTTCCTTTAGGACAGCTATTTTCATGTCTGCATGCTTTACCATACCTGAGTAAAACAAAGCCCAGGTACCTTTAAAACAATGGAATATGTTTGTTTCTATGCTGAATTTTACAAAAATCACAATGATAAAGCTTGTTTTAGCCCGGCCAGTGTGGCTCAGTTGGTTAAGCTTTATCCCATGCACCAAGAGGTTGCAGGTTTTCTGGTCAGGGTATCTGCTTGGGTTATGGGCTAAGTCCTTATTAGGGGGTGTGTGCAGGAGGCAGCCAGTTGATGTTTCTCTCTCATTGATGTTTCTATCTCTCTCTCCCTCTGCCTTCCTTTCTCTCTCTAAAAACAATAAAAACATATAAAATTTAAAAAAGAAAAAAAGCAGGAAGAAAAGCCTCTAGCACAACTATGGCTTCCTGCTGTGCTTTTATTGCTATGGATTCCAACTAGTTCACTCATCACCATTCCTGAAGGCTCTTTTTTTTAGTTCTATGTATAGACAGCAAAGAGACTTAAAAAAAAAAAAAGTATGAGTCTTACCTTATATTTACCCAAGACTTCTTTTGTGAAGCCATACCTTGGGGAAAAGGAAGGGGGTATTAAAACTATTTAATTAAATGTTGATAACTCCTACTTATATGAGTCATGCAAAAAGGAGAGGCCTTCACATCTCACTATCTCAAATGTCAACAACTTAAGAAACTAGACTTTAGCTGGAACTATTACTTACCCAAGTGTTTGCTAGGCATGATGGGAAAGAACAAAAGCAGCCAATGACTTCATCCCTATCCTCAAGGAGCTTGTAGTACAGTTCAGGGAAGGAGATATATTTTCATGAAACAATCATGAGACAACTTGAAAAAATATGTGGTAAGTATAGGTTGTGTCAGTGCTTCAAGTATTCAGAGAAGAGTGCTGTGGCAGCCGGGGGACACTGTGTGGGAGAACACTTTTAGTTTACACAGAATTTCTCAGACTGCCTATATCTTACAGTAAATGAATGATGTGAAGAGGAAAAAAAGACTGAACAAAGACTAAGAAAAGCCTAGAAGATAAACAAGTTGGCTCTTTATAGTTTCTCTGATATACTTTATGTAATGGTATTGAAGGTTTTAATAGAAAGTGTCAGGAATTTTAGAGCCTGAATAGCAGTCATTAAGAGAGATTTAATTATGGGAATTTTCTTTGAATACTTTTCCTTGCCTTAGCATAATAGTATATACCCTTAATATCCAACACAGTGAACTTGGAACAAAACATACTTACTCCAGGTTTCCATGCAAACCATGTCATGCCAGGCTTTCTAGAGTGTAACATTATATTTTCTGAGATGATTTTAGTTCTGTACTCACCAAAGGTGTCCATGTTCTTAAATCCAATAGACATTTTGCAATCCTCAACTGTCTTGCTCTTTCTGAAACACTAAATACAGCTGACTGCATAGTCCTTCTGAAAAACTTTTATTCTCTTGGATTGTGTGACAGTAAACTCTCCTGGTTTTCCTCCTACCTTTCTAGCTGTTGTGAATCTCCTTTGCAAGGTCTCCTCTACCTTGCCTTACATGTTGGGAGTTCCTTCAGATTCTGTCTTAGGTCCTTTTCTCCCTTCACCTTCTCCCCCAACAATCTCATTCGTGCACAGGGCTTCTGTTGCTATCTATATGCCAATACTACAGGACAATGCTCTAGCCCACACTTCATTTCTGAGCTCTGGACATCTGTTCTCTCAACTGTCTACTCAACAGCACCTCAAATCAACTTTCCCCAAACTGAACTCATCATTCTCTCTCATCCCAACTTTCTCCTCTTTTCATGTTCCCAATATTGGTGCATGATACTATGTATCCCCAAACTCAAGCCAAGAACCTAGAGATCATACTTGATCCTCTCCTCTTTCAAGTCCCTCATTCCAGTGTTACCAAACCTTAAATCATCATGGCCTTAACTTTGCTTGAATCTATCTACTTCTTTGCATCTTCATCCCCACCACACTACTTTAAGTGAGAACCAATCATGTACTCTTCAACTACTTATTAATCGGCCTCCCCATATACACTCTTGCCCCTCTCTAAATTACTCTTCTTGCTGCATTTAAAACACAAATTTTATGATACTCTCCAATGATTCTGTTGTCCTCAGAAGAAAATCCAAATTCCTTTGCATGATCCAACAATTTCTTTTTTTTTTTTTTTTTTTTTTTTTTGGTATATGCCCCTAGCGGGAACTAAACCCGGGACTCTCTAATCCACAGGCCAACGCTCCAACCGCTGAGCCAAACCAGCCAGGGCCAACAATTTCTTATGTCCCCAACCCTATCAGACACCAACCTGTCCATCAGTCTATGCTCCTACCCTCCTGAACTTCTTTCGGGTCTAAAAAGTCTTGACTTACACTCTACATACATTATCCCCACTGTGAAACACCATGGCCTCCTCTTGGTTGCCTAATTCATCTTTCAGGGCTCAGACTAATGCCATACTTCTGTGGGAGAACCTTCTGTCACCCTTTAGACAGACTGGATCCTCCACTTTACAAATTCACCACACTTGAAAAACCTGCTCAGTATGTGTCTTGCCTGCTAGATGTAAACTCAATGGGAGCAGGGGCCATGTCTCTTTCATTAACCCTTGTAGGCACTAAATAAATATGATTGGCTAAATGAATAAATGAAAGGACAAATGGCATGCCCAAATAAAAGTATTGAGCTATAGTACATATGGACCTCTGATAATACTCTTGAAATTTTTTTCTTCAGTCTTATCATTTGCTTCCATACCTAAGAATTAAAATTAAAACTCTGTACTCTGGCCAAGTGCCAAAACTGCTCAAAAGACAAAATTAACCAGTTGCTGAGCTTTGATCAAGGCACCCAAAACTCAGGACCAAAAATATGAAACACACCATGCCTTCTACTGCCTTAGGGCAAACTGGTTCCTACTTTTCATAAAATAAGAAACAAAATAAAAAGAAGGAAGAGGAGAGGGGGTAGAAGAGGACAAGAGAAGGGAAAGAAGAAAAAGGGGAACATCTATCACCTATTAGGCCTTTCAGCAAAAATTGATAAACCATTTAACCATTTTGTATGCCTCAACTCTCCAGTGAGTCAGATAGTTGAAATGGTATGTTATAGCTGTTCTCAAATATGTTTATGAACAACTGTGCCAGAAGAAATCACCATGTCATAAAAAATATACACATCAGTGAAAAACAGTACTAGTTTCTGAAACAACACAAGTCAAAAGGGTAGCAACAGAATGATTCCATCTAAGCCTGCTCATAGAACCTACCACACCTCCAAACCTGGTCTAACATATCTACCCAGAACACAATTTGGACTGTGAATGGTGGGCATAGAAGGATAAGAAGGAACATAACAGAAAGTACAAGAAAGAACAGAACTAAAGATAGGAAAGGGACTTCAGAATAATGTATACTCAGTAGAAAATTGGGGGTTGTAAACAGGGGTAAGAATTGAGATTCCTCTCATTCCTACTTCTCTACACTCACCTCTAACTCTCTGCTAGGAACTAAACATGATAGAATTTTCCAAGATGGGAAACAAAAGAGAAAATCTAAAGGCCTAGGTTACCTCATATTCATCAAAAAATCCTCATGGTTCCCTCTGTTCAGGCACAGGTCATCACCATAGAGAAGAAAACTCACAAACAGGATCATTAAGATCTCTATGGAATATTTTCCTCGGTCTACAAAATCTCCGTTAAAAACATATGGGTTCTGCCCTGAGGGGAGGCCATTCTGTGGAAGGAGAGGGGGAAAAACAAGCAGTTACAAAATGTATTGTTAAAGTAAGGTCCCTGTGAACATAGAGAAAGAAATTGAGTCAGTCCTTCCATTGGGAACAATTTTCTCAGTTGCTTGAGTCAGCTTCACTCTTCTAGGGCAGGCATCTCCTGCAAGGGACCTTAAAAGTGAAGAATTAGCTTGGGACAGGAAGATAACTGGGGATGGGGATTGATCATTCTACCCACCAACTACTATGAGTTTTCTCTGAAAGGACCTGATATTTGTCCTATCAAAAATGGCTACTCTCTCTTCTACCTTTTCCCTGGAAAAGGGGGAAACTTCTAAGGGGCCCTATGTTTAACTTCTCTGGGCTGTGTGTGAGCTCCTCAAATTGCAAAAAGGGGATGACACTATATCTTCCCCCCTCCCCAGATCAAATGAGAATGGATACAAAAGCACCCAGGAACATGTAAGGCACCGTGTAATTGTGAGCAGGGCTGATATACCAGCAATGCACTCTGATACAATCACACTGAGTATTGATAGCCAGTGTGTGTTCTCATTGCTCACTGACCAGGCCACATTAGTTATTAAATATTTTGATTATCACTCCTGGGTATGAGATTATACTTTTAAACACAGTGTTAACATGAAAAATAACTGGGATTAGGACAAAAGTTTAGTCTTTATAAGAACTTTTGTTACTAAATTCTAAGACAAACATCTCATCCCTACCAAGACTTGAAAACAAACAAGCAGTCAGTGATATAGTGTTCTGGGCCACAAATAATATGAATTATTCTCTAGTCCACCTCCACTATTACCCATGTGTCCTTAGGCAAGTTATTTAATCTTTACGAGTTGTAGTTTCCTTATCTGTAAAATGGGGATGATAACCTCCATAGTTAGCACACAGGACTACTTTTGAACTCAAGTGAGGCTGTGTGGATAAAATTTCATGAAAACCATAAAGCACCATATAAATTAAGATTAATTTTGTTATGACCTCTGTGTTATTTCTCATTTTAAGATCCCATTATTTTTCATTTTCTTATACATTAATTTAAGTAAAGTGCTAAATAGGATCACAAAGCAACATTATGTCATATTAAGAGGCACTTTATGAAGAATATACAATTCATGAACTTGTATTCAATACAAAAAAAATAAGTTTTTGCTTCATGTATTTGACTACTATAAATACAAGAAGAAATTGTTTAAAAATACAAACATAGCAAAAATATTCCGATTGAATTTTTTTTATTTAAGATAATATACACAAATTCTTTGACTCTCCTTTTAAAAGGTGAAGCCTAATTTGTCATCTCTTGAATGTAGGCTGGACTTAGTTATTTGCTCCTAAAAAATAGGGGAAAAAAGCAGAAGTGATGGTGTGCAACTTTGGAGACTAATTTTAAAAAGACACTGCAGCTTTCTCTGCCTTAGATCACTCACTCTAGGGAAAGCCAGCTGCTATGTCATGAGAATATTAAGGCATGCTATGGAGAAGCCCATGTGGCTGTTCTGTCCATAGCCAGGAAAAAAATTGAAATGCTGTGCCTGCAGCCATGTGAGTTAGCAACCTTGGAAATGGGTTCTCCAGCCCCAGTCAACCTTTCAGATGACTACATCCCTGGGTCAATAGTTTGACTTCCCTCTCATTAGAGACCTTATGCCAGAACCACCCAGCTAAACTGCACTCAAGTTTCTGACCCACAGAAACTGAGATACTAAATGTTTGTAGTTTTAAGACACTAAGTATTGAGGTAATTTATTATACAGCAATATATAACATGCATGTTTATACAGATATAATAGTAATATATGGAAATAGTAATATATGGAAAAATTGAATACATAACCAATTGTTTTAATAGATAGATATATGAAGAACATTGCATTCTAAAATGGAGAATACAATTAATTTTTCATTTGTCCACAGAGACTCGTGTACTTGATTTCAAAAAAATCCTTAACAAATTCAAAATGAGAAACATTTTATAAGACACATTCTCATATCATAATCCAATAAAATTTGAAATAAATAAAAATGTGATTCAAAAAATTCTAGTTCCTTTAATTTTAAGATCCTTGGAAATTAAAAATTAAAGTCTTAGTAAATTTTGACTTAAACAGGAAATTAAAAGCAATACCACAAATTCAATAGAAGGGCTCAGTCAAAACTAAAATTAGAAAAGATATGTCCTCTTTTTATTTTATATAAGATGCTTATTTTTATTTTCAATTTCATGGACACAGTGTCCTGTTTTTATGGTAGCCAAGCTGGCAATATGAGCTATGGAAAACATAAGTTGTTTTAGTCCTTTGCTCTGATACTTCATGAACATTAGAGCAAAGTTACATCTTCTTTGCTTATTTTCTAGAGCCTTTTGTTTCCATTTAAATTTTGAGCCATTCTATTTAGAAAAAAAATTATTTTCTTTATGTGAAGCTATAATGAAAAGGATAGTTCCTTCGTCTTTTTACAGCTGACATAGGCCTTCAACTATGAATGTAGAGCTCTGTGCACAAGTTGGGAGGTAGGTGGGATGGGTGGTTCTACAAGGTACTTCATGGATAGGAAAAGCCCAGCTATGGAGTGACTCAGTTCTTCTAGTCTCTGTAGTCTCCATTGATTTCATTTTTTAACTGCTTCAAAGGAAGTCATATTATTCTATTTAGCCTCAAACCCTCTTTGAATCCAAATTCTACTCCTATCTGGCTCCTCAAACTGGAATCATGGAGACTACTTTAGATTCCAGCTTCCATATTCCTTTGTGTCTTTTCTCTCATCTCTGTGCAAAAGATGTGTAGTCTTAAATGCCTTCGTTATTAAAGAAGATGCAAATGAAAGACTGTATTCATCTTAAAAATTAGAATGAAACAATAAAACCAATCAAATAAAGATAAAAGCTGAAATTAATAAGATAGAAAACAAACTAAAAGAAAAGATACAGGAGTGGGCAAAAGTCTGTTTACAGTTATAATACAGATAAATAATACAATAATTAATAAATAATAATACAAAAATAAAATCTGTTTCAGGTACTCACAACTATAAACTGACTTTTGTCCACCCTGTAAATAAATCCAGAGGGTGATTCTTTGAATCAGTAACATCAATAAAATTGATGGCGGAGTGAGCAGGGAAGAAGGGGTCAATTGGGGGAAAATAAGGAGGGACATCTATAATACTTTCAACAATAAAGATAAATTAAAAAACCAAAAAAAAATTGATAAACTCAGCATGAGCCTGAGGATAAGTGAAAGAGAGAATGAAAAAAATACGTAAGATTAAAGATCAGAAAAAAGCCATAAAGATATGGAGATTTAAATAAAAGAATAATATACATGTAAAATATATAATATCGACATCCATGGAAATGTACTTTCACAATCTAGAAAAATGAAGGATTTCCTTAAAAATCAGAAACTACTAAAACTGATTAAAAAGAAGTAGAAAACTTAAATAGTGCATTGGCTTCATGCAGCTTTTTTTTTATCCTCACTTGAGGACATTTTTGCATTTATCTTCAGATAAAGTGGGAGGGAGAGAGGGAGGAAGAGAGAGAGAAATATCCACATGAGAGACACATCAACTGGTTGCCACCTGCACAACCCCAACGGGGGCCAGAGACAAACTGCAACCAAGGTACATGGCCTTAGCAGGAACTGAACCCGGGACTCTCTGGTCTGCAGGCCGACACTCTAACCACTGAGCCAAACCGGCCAGGGCTCCATGTAGCTTTATAGCAGAGCTCTATCTCAATTTTCAAAAGCAAAGAGTCTATGTTTGTTTGTTTTTTTAAATCCTCATCTGAGAATATTTTTTAAATTGATTTTAGAGAGACAGGAAGGGAGAGACAGAGAGAAAGAAACATCAGTGAGAGAGAGAAACATCAGTGTGAGAGAGAAACATCAGTGTGAGAAACACTGATCAGTTGCCTTCCGTAGGCATCCCAACTGAAGATTGAACCTGCAAACTAGACATGTGCCCTGAGCAGAATCGAACCCACAAACATTTTGGTGCACAGGACTATGCTCAACCAACTGAGCCACGAGGCTGAGCAAAAGCAAATAGTTTTAATGTTATTTAAACCAAAGGTTCCCTTCCTTGGTTGCACATTAAAATCATTTGGGGAGCTTTTAAACGTACCCAGGTGTCCATTCAGAATCTCTGGGAGTGGGACTCAGGTATCAGTATTTTTTCCCCCAATTCCTTGGATGATTACAAAGTATAGTCAAGTTTGAGAACTGGGGATTTAAGTTCCAAACTACAGAAAAAGATGGAAATCTTTCCAGTTCATTTCATAAAACTGTAATATCAAAATTGGAGAAATGCATTCAACAGCCTAAAATTATACTTATTATATTTGGATGCCAAACATGTTTTCAACTGTGATGACAAATTTTCTTGTATTAGAAATTATTCATCTCCAGTTAAACCAAACTGTTTATAGGTACTTTATCTCTACTATGGGCCAAGAATAATGAATTTCTTTAGTCAAGCCTAATTTTAAGCCAAAAATAATAATGGTCAGCTGAGCCATCCACCTTATACAGCACGCTTGACACCCAATGAGTTTTAACCTTTTCAAAAAGTCACACGTTGTCAAAAGACTGAGATTTGTGATAATGAAGATCATTCAATAGAATATATCAGTCTTCGAAAATGATTCTAAAAGGAGTTCTAAATGTGTATATATGTTGAGCCTCTTACGTCAACCACTTCAAAGAAGGCAAGACACATTTGGATGTATAAAAGCTGTCCTATTGGTTCAGGATTAGTCATATTACTTTATATAGTCTGAGTCAAATATGTTTTAGTCTTAGAATAACAAGAGAACTGGAAAACAGATAAGAGGATGAGGAGCTAAATCTCCTGGGACATAAATCTCACAGGGATGGAGAACCTTTTTTCTGCCAAGGGCCATATGGATATTTATAACATCATTCTTGGGCCATAGAAAATTATCAACTTAAAAATTAGCCTGCTATATTTGGTCAGGCTC